TTCATTCATCCCATACATCCGAAACATCGCATATGCAATTGATGCATCACAATGCTCCGTGTTGCATCACAAAGCAGCAGTTCCCTCATTCAACATGAGCAACGACCGACCGGGGTTCGAAGGCCGGCCCACGAAGGGCTCGAGGCTGCCTCGCATCAAACAGAGCCAGGGGAGAAAACGCAAATGAGCCCCAGCGGCCCTCGCCCTGTCTGCCCCAAAGTAGACGGGTCATCTCAACCTTCTCGTTTGATCCTAACCTTAAGCCATGCCCATAGAATCTCCATCGAGGGGAGGCCAGCGGGCCACCTGGGTCGGTCTCCAAAACGACCCAGGCATCTACCAGGACGCGGGTTAAGGAGCAGTGGAATACCATATGAGGGCTATGCCGACCCCATCATGAATGATGGACCCGGATTCCACTCGAATGTACCCGTTAGCGAGCTTGCTAAACGCGTCACTCGAGCCATCAAGGCAAACGACGTTAGCTCAGCCTCTCTGGTTACGGAAACCACGAACAGGGTAACGCACGAAACTCAACCAACCCCTACCAAGCCCAACGGAGCTCAGGGGCTCAGGACGCCCGACCCCTCAGCTGCGCCCGACGCCTAGATCCACAAGTCCATCTCGTCCGATCCCCTAGCGTGCCCGACGCCTTGTTTGGTGACTCCGACTTGTCTGATCCCTGGATCCGTGACTCTGACTCACCCGAACCCTCAGTGCGCCCGGCGCCCTGGTTGACGGCTCCGTCTCGCCCAGTCCCTCGGCCATGACCAAACTCCTGGGACTGCGCCCCTGGAAACGATGGGTCAGAAACTAGAAAGTGGAGGCTACGCCCACCAAGGCGCGCACACACACGCCCGCTGACAAAACCCCCAGGCGATTCTGCCCGAATCGCCCGGGGCTCGGGGGCTACATCCGCTGTCGAAACGAAAAATTCCCCCGCTTGCAACACGAAACCCCCCTAGACGATTCTACCCGAATCACCCGGGGGCTCGGGGGCTACACCCCGTCAAAACCAAGAAAATCCCCCAGATGATTCTACCCGTATCGCCTAGGGGCTCGGGGCCTTCTGTCGGGTTCATAAACCCGGGGTCCCTCATGGACCTGCTTCTCAGCAAGAGCTCGACCTAGCAGACGACGTTGCGAACGACGCGCAACTCCTAGGCTGGCCCAGAAGGGTGATCCAATCTCCGACTAGAAGGCCTGGCCAAGGAAAGGACAACGCTCGCTTCCGACTCCGGCTCGCTTCTCCGACCGGATGGCCTGGCCAAGGAGGAACGACGCTCGCTTCAGATTCCGGCCCGCCTCTCCGACCGAAAGGCCTGGCCAAGGAAGAACGGCGCTCGCTTCCGACTCCGGCCTGCCTCTCCGACCGGAAGGCCTGGCCAAGGAAGAACGGCGCTATCTTTCGACTCCGGCCCGCCTCTCCAACCGGGAGGCCTGGCCAGCACCGCTTCCGACTCTGAGCCGCCTCTCTGACAGGAAGGCCTGGCCAGCACCGCTTCCGACTCTGACCCACGTCTCCGACCGGGGATGCATCGAACCTCTGCTTACAGCTCTTCTCCCACTGGCGTAGTCGGAGCCAACCGGGACCAACCGACCTGGGACGCCTACTCGGTGAGGACCTAGGAAACGAGCGAAGCAAGTAAGGCAGGGCGCTCATGTCAACCGCAGTACCAAGGACCATACCCTGTACACCTATAGCACGGTACCGACAGGGCATGTCAGAAGGCTGCCCTGCCACCTTCCAGGCATGTCAGAGCCCCAGCAGTGTTGTGGGCGCCGACGTTTGCCCTACAGTGTTGTGGGCGCCCTCAACTCCAATACCAGGCGAACACAGTAAAACCCCCCACATGTCTCTGGACATCAACAATGTTGTGGGCGCCGTCATTTGCCATATATGGTGAATACGGTAAAACCTACCATATGCGTCTGACATAAACAGTGTTGTGGACGCCTACAATCATCATTGTACCCGATGGCATGGGCAATAAGACTTAGTAGCATACATAAACTCTCCCTCTCTCACTTGTAAGGCCGTCCCCTTCATCTATAAAAGGGGATGCGCTCTCTCCCACTGAGGACGACTCTTAGACGATTCAAACATACACGATCGACACGATCAAGACGATCCAAACGACCAAGGATTCCAACAGAGCATACGCTCAAATACTTAGCGCACGCAGGAGCTCCCGTCACTCTCAGCCCTTTGGTCCAGAGTCCGACCGGACCGCTTGCGCCCTCCATCTTACTCCCTTCCGTTTGTAACCCCACAGCAAACGTCGAGCACATGGGCTCAGGAATAAAGTCACCGACCGACTCAAACTGGACGTAGGGCACGTTGCCTGAACTAGTATAAACCCTATGTCATTGAGTGACAGGCCACATCCAATCACAACGTACGGCAAAACTACAAATATTTACGTGTTGATCACTTTCTGCACCGACACCTTGTTTAATAATTTAAAAACTAAAATGGACTAAAATAGGAGGCTAAGCTTTAGTCCTATGAAACCAAACATGTCCTTCGTATACTAGTAGTAACCTCTTGAACTGTTCTTATGGGCGCAACTGAATTCATATACCCTCGGCGCGCGGGCGTCGTCCTCCCGGACGCCGCTAGCTGGATAGCCAGTCTCGCCACTTGTGCGAAACAAGAAGCTAGTGGCCAGTGGGCTACAGCCGCAACCACAAGGCCTCGATGGCTCGATCCCTTTCAAGGCGAAGGCGACGCATGGAGGATCTCACATTCTCGTGCATAGCATAGCTGCGGTAAGCAAGTTGAAATAGAAAGGCGTTATGAAGCAACTTACGATTCTCCCTCGATATCCAGCAATCCTAAACAGCCGCTTTCGTCTAAACTTATCAACCCGCCTTATCAACTATGGTACAATGTTTTTCTCTTAGACCTCTGGCACTGGCGCAGACGCACAACCACCTCCGCGCGGACACCGGACACGAGCACGCCTGTCCCTGCCTCCCACTCCCTCTCTCAGTGGGCCTCGGGCTGGCCCGGCCTGCCTGGCAGACCGTGCTTATCGGGCTAGCCTGGCTCGAAAATCAGCCCAGCAGGCCGTGCTTGGGCTGATGGCATGCCGTGCCTGGCACGGGCCCGTGTCGTGCTGGGCCGGGCAGGCCCGTTGCCCATCTATATCTAGAACGACTGTTCGCATGGCACGCCTTTCTGTTCTCCTGCAAGCTACCGTGCACTGCTGCGAAATCCACGCAGGATCGGAGAACAATTGAGGGAGTGTTCGACTGCCATTATAGCTATGATATAATATTTTTCTCTTCCAACAAATCAGCCATATAAATCACCACAGCAGTCTTTACGAGCAGGCCGAAAAGAGACCCTGATGCTGGAGTACTCCGTAGATGAATAGCTGGCTTTTCTAATCCAGTCAGGAGAGCGGGACGGGGACGGGGACGGGGACGGCGGCCATCATCCATCAATAATGCACGCACCGCGCGACGCGAATCCAGGGCCTGTTCGGCAAGCAAAATGGCCCAATCCGCCGTCTCACTCTCTACAGATCGAACCAGCAGGGCTACTGGGCTAGCGTTCCTTTTCACGTGAGATCCGCGATCAGGAACAGCGTAGCATGCCGTCGCGTTTGCGCCGTAGCTCCCGTGGCCCGTGGGAAGACCGCACCGCCGCCGCCTACCAAATCGCCCTTCACATGTCTTTGCGGTGCTGTGCATTTGTGTACGTTGTACGTGCTCACTCTGGCAACGCAGATACGGCTGGAAAACGAAAACACTGCGGTAAGAAGCATAGCATGTGGTCAGCGACTCTCGTGATCATGCGTTGCGCATGGTGCGCGGCTGCGGCGCTGCGCGCTCCAAAAAACGGTGGTTAGGTTCCCAGGGCCCCATGCCCTGACAGGCTTCCTGCCCGGCTGATCCAGGCTGGTCTTGTTTCGTTCTCTCGAATAGTATTGAATCAGCCAAAATCAGTCGAAATAAGATCAAAATGTGACCAACCGAACACCATGCTCGGAGACGATAGGTTTCGTTCGGCTTCGGCATCCTCATCATCAGGAGACCCCCAAAAAAAAATTTTTGCCGTGCCATGCCTTCGCCATCGCCAGTGCGTTTCTGTATCGCCGGGACGGGACGGGACGGGACGGAACAGTGACAAGCTCACAATGATTGCCACCAGGAAAACAGGACAAAAGAAAATAGATTACTGTATTGGCTAGTGCTCCTACTTCACATAGTACAAGTGCTTTGGCGCTCCATTAAAAAAAGGGATTGCATTTTTTGGACTGATAATGCAAACGAGATACACGGATAAGGGATAACGCAGGTGCTAACACGCTGCCATGGTCTCAAGTGCTTGTCCGCTTCGAGAACCTAAGCATTTCCCAGTTCCCTTTATACTGGTACGTACTCGATCCATCCTAAATTGTAAGACGTTTGATTTTTTTATATCAAATTTGACCATCCGTCTTATTCAAAAATTTATGTAAAATATTATTTTTTTTGTCGTGGTTTGGTTTATTAATAAAAATTCTTTAAGAATGACTTAAATTTGACTATATTTGCATAAATTTTTTAAATAAGACGAGTGATTAAACTTAAAAAAAAATCAAACGTTTTACGATTTAGAATGGAGGGAGTACTACTTTATTATTCGAAATAATTCTATCAAGGTCGCCATCACGGAACGGTCAGAGTCAAACCACGTCCATATAGTACTTCCCCACAGCCCCCCGCACAGGACTGTTCCGCCGCCGTCCGATGGGATCGGACGGTCACCATCTAACCTCGGTAGAGGGACCCCACACCCGCACCGCTGGAGCCTGGAGGCTCTGCTCCAATAAATTTCGAACACGAGTGCTCCTGCAGCCAGTGCCACAGCGCATCATCACCCAAACCTTTTTTTCTCTTCTTTTTCTCCCGGAAGTCCCAGCCCCGGCAGTCCCCTCCCACCACCACCACTCCAAAAGGCGGGCACCAAACACCAACCCGAGCACGGAGCACGAGCGCCCAACCAAATGGCGCCGCACACCACCGCGGCGGGAGGCGGCGGCGGGGGCGGCGGCGAGGACGAGGTGTCGGAGGCGGCCGCGGCCGCATCCCCCGCGTTGCGGCACCGCCACGCGGGCAAGGGCGAGGGCGAGTGGCTGGGCGGCAATGGCGCTGGGGCTGGGGCCGACGGCGGCCAGGCGGCGTCCGTGGAGCGGGTGTTCGCGGACAAGGCGGTGCCGTCGTGGCGGGAGCAGCTCACGCTGCGGGCGTTCGTCGTCAGCGCGCTGCTCGCCGTCTTGTTCAGCGTCATCGTCATGAAGCTCAACCTCACCACGGGGATCATCCCCTCCCTCAACGTCTCCGCGGGGCTGCTTGGCTTCTTCTTCGTCCGCATGTGGACCGCCGCCGTCGAGAGGATGGGATTCCTCCGCCAGCCCTTCACCAGGCAGGAGAACACCGTCATCCAGACCTGCGTCGTCTCCGCCTACGGCATCGCCTTCAGCGGTCAGTAACCAACCACCAGACCCCCTTCCCGTCCCGAACTATGTATGTTTCGCTAGTACTACTAGTGTACTAATTCGTGATTTCCTATCACCGTCGTTGTCTGCTTGAGTTGAGAGGAACTTGTGGTGATCGTGCTTTTGGGAGCGGTTGTTGCGTCCATTTCCTGCTCGCCTTCCTATGAATCGCCGATGTGCCGTTCGAATTGTTTGAGCCGCCGATGTGCCGTTCGAATTGGTAGAACGAACAGTGGATCAATCTCTTTGTTTGGTTTATCTATAGTGGCTTTTGGGTGTGGGAGTAGTCTGAGTGTATGACGCAGATACAGAGAGTCACAGGGGGGCACATAGCGTTCGCTGTAGTTGGTAAGCCTGAAACGTCAGGGAATCGATTGTTCTTTTGCCCCAAAGGAAAACACCAACCGATCGCTTTCAGTAACGACTCAAAAATAGCGTTCTCAGAGCACAGAGCTCCTGCTCTGTGCGGCGTGTGGGGAAGGGTGTCATTGGCAAGCCTTACCCTCGTTTGTGCAATGCGAGGAGACCGCGACTCGAACCCGGGACCTTCCGGTCACAGGCGGTAAGACTACCGCTTGCACCAGGCCCACCCTTCTGGCTTCCTTTGCTGAATAAACGTGTAAAAAGTCAACAAAAATATTTTTCAAATATTTGGCGCTCATAATTAGGTGATCAACTTTGGGCAAGAAATGCCATTTGTACTCAGGACAGGTTGAAACGGGATGAGCCTGCTTGGGTTGACTCCTCCCCTTAAAATAGATGCATAGTACATGCGTTGCTTTTTTTTTTCCTTTGGCAGACATGGCAGTATGGCACATGCATCTGAAGCATTGGTCGAACATAAGGGCATGTTTGGTTCCAAATAAGTCGTCTACTTATAAGTTAAAAAGTGAAAAAAGTGACTTATTTTGCCAAACACCACCAACTTATAAGTCACCCCTGCTTATAAGTTTTAAGTTGGTTCACCCCTGCTTAAAACTTATAAGTCACCCTTTTCGCGTGGGGCCCACACCTTTAATGAGCTTATAAGTCATCTACAACCAAACAGACATGACTTATAAATCACTGGTTTTTAATCACCTGACTTAATAAGTCACCTGGCTTATGGAAACCAAACAGTCCCTAAATAACTATTTATGATCTGCAAGCTCATTTGTGAACCATGTTATTTAGTGCGTTGATGCCCAATCTATCATGTGCAACCACTGGACTTGCATAAAAGGGCATACCCAGTGCAGAGAGTTCTCGCTCTGTGCGGGGTCTGAGAAGGGTGTTAGTGGCAAGCCTTACCCTCGCCTGTACAATGCGAGGAGACCGCGACTCGAACCCGGGACCTTCCGGTCACAGGCGGTAAGACTCTACCGCTTGCACCAGGCCCGCCCTTCAACCACTGGACTTGCAGGCTGAAAGAATTTGAAATTGCATAACAAAATGGCCCATACGCATAGGTTGGTCAGCTGGAATTAAGAAGCTACTCTTATCAGCAAGTTTAAATTTGCATATGTCCTCCATTGCAGAACTGCAAATCTGCAACAACGCTTTCAGGAAATGAGTGATTATCTGTGTTTTGAAGTGGTCATAGTGTGATCAGATCATTTAAGGCATGAGACAAGTAGCATGTTTTGGTGCCTTATCTGTCCAAATCAAATAAGTAATCAAATCATTGTTTTTCCTGTTCGAGAGTGTGACTCACATCTCTGCATCAGATAAGAATGTTGCGTTAAAGCCAACAAAAAATATGCAAAATGGCTTATACTCTTTTATTCAAATTAATCAGGTGGCTTCGGCAGTTATCTATTTGGAATGAGTGACAAAATAGCTAAACAAGCAACAGAGGCTAAAGATGCTAATAACATAAAGGATCCTCACCTTGGATGGATGATAGGGTTCCTATTCCTTGTCAGTTTTATTGGTCTCTTTTATGCTTGTGCCCCTAAGAAAGGTATGTCTCCAATTCTTTTCTCCATTATGTTCTTACTGATTTACTGTATGGAAGCAAACTTGTTCTTATCAGCTTAATTTTGTTTCAGATTATGATTGTTGACTACAAGCTGACCTATCCAAGTGGCACAGCCACTGCATATCTCATCAACGGGTTTCACACACCTGAGGGAGCCAAGCTTGCAAAGTATGTCCATACAGTTCTGCTTTTGGCTACTTTGACCTTGTGAAAACTATATCCATTATTTTCACCACCTGGTCCATGTTGTGCAACTCCTCTTACAATGATAATGATATATTTCAGGAAGCAAGTAAAGACGTTGGGCAAGTACTTCGTGTTTAGCTTTTTCTGGGGCTTTTTTTCAGTGGTTCTACACTGCAGGGGATGAGTGTGGATTCAAAAATTTCCCAACATTGGGCCTTGAAGCTTATAACAATAGGTCAGAACTGTGACACTATCCTAGATATGACACCTGCTGAGTATAATGTCCAGTATCTGGAATAGTTTATACGTCTTCCATCTGGTAAAACAATAAGAGCTTGCAAATTCATCTGTGCCATCTCTTGTTATGCTGCACAAGTAAAACAGCAGTTATTTATGCCAAGCATCTGAAGTTTTGCTTAGTATTTCCAATTGGCTAGGCGCTAATTCAGAGGTATTGGTCTCTGATGCTAAACTTGGCTTATCGTCTTTCAGATTCTTCTTTGACTTCTCTCCTACATACGTTGGAGTTGGCATGATCTGCCCATACATCGTTAATGTGTCTGTTCTGCTGGGCGGTATCCTCTCATGGGGTGTAATGTGGCCTCTCATTGCCAAGAAGAAGGGGAGTTGGTACCCCGGCTGACCTCGAAGACTCAAGTCTACATGGGCTGCAGGCTTACAGGGTAAACATCGATCCTACTTATGGCTGTTCTGTTATCTTTTCCCAAAGCTATACCATTGAGCTTCATCGCATGAGAACATTGGTTTTGTGACGAAGAATTCAACTGCTAGTTCCTTGCAATTGCAGGTTTTCATTTCCATCGCTTTGATCCTTGGGGATGGTTTATACAACTTCATTAAGGTGCTGATCCGCACAATTGCAGGCTTCATAGCAATGGTGCAGCAAAATTCAAAAAGCATGCTTCCTGTTTCGGACAATGGCAGTTCCATGTCCAGTACTGAAGCTGTATCCTTTGACGATGAACGTCGCACTGAGATTTTTCTGAAAGATCAAATTCCCAAGTCAGTTGCATACGGGGGCTATGTTGCAGTTGCCGCAATATCTATCGGCACTCTTCCTCAGATCTTCCCGCAGCTCAAGTGGTACTACATTTTGGTTGCCTATGTCGTGGCACCTGTCCTGGCCTTCTGCAACGCGTATGGAAGTGGCCTCACTGATTGGTCTCTCGCCTCCACCTACGGCAAGCTCGCCATCTTCGTGTTCGGTGCATGGGCCGGGCTCTCACAAGGTGGCGTGCTCGTTGGGCTCGCTGCGTGTGGTGTCATGATGAGCATCGTGTCGACAGCCTCAGACCTGATGCAAGACTTCAAGACTGGGTACCTGACGCTGGCGTCACCGAGGTCTATGTTCATCAGCCAGGTGATCGGCACCGGGATGGGGTGTGTCATCGGGCCCTGCGTCTTCTGGCTCTTCTACAAGGCGTTCGGTGACATTGGCGAGAGTGGCACAGAGTACCCGGCGCCCTATGCCATCGTGTACCGCAACATGGCCATCCTCGGCGTGGATGGCTTCCACTCGCTCCCGAAAAACTGCCTCACCCTCTGCTACATTTTCTTTGCGGCAGCGATCGTCATCAACCTTGTGAGGGACCTGACCCCGCACAGGGTGTCGAGGTTCATCCCGCTGCCAATGGCGATGGCGATCCCGTTCTACATCGGATCCTACTTCGCCATCGACATGTTTCTGGGCTGCGTGATCCTCTTCGTGTGGGAGCAGCTGAACAAGGCGAAAGCGGACGCGTTCGGACCTGCAGTCGCGTCGGGGCTGATCTGCGGAGATGGTATCTGGACCCTGCCGCAGTCCATTCTGGCCCCTCGCCAAGGTGCAGCCCCCATTTGCATGAAGTTTTGTCCAGATCGACCAATGCCAAGGTCGACAGCTTCCTCGGGTTGTCATGATTTTACATAGAATGGCAAGTAGGCACGCCGTCATCCTGTAATTATTGGTGTAAAATGTAATCCCCAGGCTACTGATTTGTAGAAGAGAAGAGGTTTTGCTGTGGAGTGATCAAAGCTTTGTCCGCGTAGTCTGTGTCAAGAGGAAAAGCTTTACTCAATATCCCTCTGCCTTCTTTGGTTCAATTCATGACTAGCGTATTTCACGGTTATAGGTCTTTTGGAATGTGAAACGTTCGAATTTGTACGAATGGATAGGTGAAACTTTGATACTCCATGGGCAGGAAAAATCACGCAAGGCAGATCTAGCACCAGGGAAGTTTGGAAGGATACTAGAGATGGAATATAAAGCAAGAATCCATTCCTAACTTATTTTGCTAGATCCAACACACGGTGTTACTTATACGTTACTTGAGTAGCAAACACAACTGATGTCCTGCAGGTAGACCTAGTCCACTCACATCATATGTCCGTTACATATAACTGCATAAGAGAGCAGTACTTAGATACACACCTAAACCTAGAAGTTAAGCTGTTGACACCCTGATGACTATATGCACGATAGAGGCGATCCTGCAGAGGGTTTACATTTCTTGCTTGAAACGGCTCCATACCTACACAGAGCCTGAAGGCTGGACTTGCGACATGATCATCCATTCAGGGCAGACTTGAAATGGTTGTCATCAATCGTGTTGTAAATGTTGCCCTGGTCAATATGTTTTTGGATGACCGCCCTGTGAAAGTAACAAGTGGCGTGGTTTGTGATAAAGAATAAAGACAAGATTCAGAATTGTAGTTCATGATAAAGAATAAGACTCATTTCGATAAAAGGGGTCAAACAATTTAATGGTAATATTTGTCTGTATCATATCAGTTTCTGTTTATATACCAAGAAAAAAGATAAGTCCCTGGGATTGGGAGGCTGTAATCAGGAAAAGAAAAGGTACTGAGCAGAGTACTAATAACTAAGAACTTGAAGAAACAATATGCAGGAAAGCAAGCTGCCAGTCTGGTTTTGTTTATTTAAGAAAGAAGATAGCAAGTTGAATACTGTATATTTTAGAGGGAGGGAGAAGGCAGAATATACCTGACTACATCTTCTGGTAGTTTAAGACGAGCTGCGACATCTTTGATGTGCAGTCCATGCTCCCGGTCTCTGCAGTTGCAGTCATCAGTCTATTTCTCAACAAGATATGCTCCTCACATTTGTAATACAGTAATAAATTTGCTTTTAAAATTGGCACTGGAATACTAGCAAGGTAGAAGAAACAAACCTACTACAAAATGAGGTTTATACAAGACCCTTGAATCTATGGAATACAAAATTAGCCTCAGATGGTGTTCATCCAATTCAGCGTTCACCAAAAGGAGAATAAACTTTCCTGAATTTGTTCTCCTTACAGTTCTTCCATTATTTCTAGGTTCATAACCCTGAGCTAGCCTAGTGCCCTAGTGTTTCTAGGTCAAACCATTACTAAGTGTGGCCATTCTTTACCATGGAGCTTTTCAAGCTCCGTGAGTTTGGTATCTGTACCAGCTTTAAAACACTATGGGGCTTGGGTTCTTTGGACTACGCTATTCATGAACATGAATCATGCGTGTAAGATTAGTTTTCTTTTACTGGGTCATGAAAAACACAGCAATAACATTTGATAGTAGAATCAGCTATAATTAACTTACATGGCTGCTGGGTCATGAAAAACACTCATGACCAATTTGGATACATCGTTTCCAGCAGCGTTTCCTGATGCAGAAAACGTTGCAGCCTGAGGAAATAAATATGAAACATTAGAAAGACACTGATAGATATTTGTAATATTATACAGTTAGAGAAACTACCTGATTATTAGAGAGCCAAACTTGGTTAGTATGACCAGGGGTTGCCACACTAGCATTTATTTGGGCCTGCAACCAATGTCACCATAAAAAAAATTTGATCACTGGAAAACATAAAATCACCCGCAAAAAACTTAGTAAGTCACTCAACTCCCGGAATTAAATATGTGGGATTTTAGTACCTTTGGCCTGGTGTGATCCAGATGCACCTGAATGCAGTGCAGAAAGTGATGGGGTATTTCATTGAAGTCTGTCACACGCCTGACAAGAAATCATAAACAGTAAGATTTCAAGAAAAATGTATGTCTAAAATAGCTGTATCAAATTCACAATATATTTGTCCAGGCAAGGTGAGACTTTCTCCTCAATACTAGTTCATAAGCGACATTGAATCATCCCAAGAAGATCGTGCTACCAATTTGAGACATCAGATGACAAACAGCTTTCAATATGATATAATGTTGGATAAGCAACAATGAAACATTGCACATTTCATTAACATCGACATACTGGAGTATAAATAACCTAGACAGGTGGACGCAAACCTAGCAACCACTAAGTTATTATTTGAATTTGAGACAGCATAAGCCTTTTATTTAGTCTTCTACTTTAGCACAGGAAAAATGAAATTTTAGTACGGTGGTGCAATTCCATGGAAGAGATCAAACAACACACCAGTAATCCACAAGAAGCGGACATTGGAAGTAAGCATCACAAATCACCATGCAAGAGTAGAAAGACTAGTATATAGAGCTCACCGCACAGAGTAGGCAACTACATTGCGCTTTCCTTGAAAACCTTTCAAACCGCCATTGACTATGACATAGTTCCGGTTACTTGTAAAACCAAAACAAAGCAACACTATCAATTTTGACGCAATACAAACTGAATCATTGACATGTGACAGTTAATCTGTAATTCTTACTTGACATCAGCCATTTCCTTGGCATCGGAAGACTCATTTTCCCTTGAAAAAAGAATGGCATTAAATTAATGGAACAATCCAAAAGTGCTAAACATCAAATACAATCTGAAGCATCCTACCAACGATTCACATCTATCTTGCCGGTACCATCATCAAGAGTGAATTGAACATCTGTGACGCGCTCAACCTTATTCAACATGCGTCCAACAAGCCTAACCTGCAATCCAGAGTAAATACAACATTTTAAATGACTTCGATATACCAACTAAATGCTCAATGCAAAACCGTCTGAAACCAGATAAACTAGATTTCACAAAAAAAAAAGACACTATAGCAAGTATTGGAAAAATCGCATAAAAGGGAAGCATTTCATTGAAACCCACCATACCTATGTCCCAGAGGCTAATTTTCAATAGAACGACATCAGACAAAAGAGGTCATTTTTGTTTCTTAATGGATAATGGATCTACTAATGAACAAATCTTCCATCGAAGCACTGTGACCATCCAAACCCAACCGCAAAAAATGCTGCTTTATACTCCAATATCTGGTCGATGAACGAATCTTACAAGCCTAAGCACCGCAGGGAAAAAAAGGCAAAATCCGTACCGTGGACACCTCAACGCCGTCGATGGCGAAATTAGACTTGTCATCGCTGGCTTGCGCCGCGTCCATGATCTGTTTCACGGTGAGCGGGAGCAGCGTCTGCGCGCTCCGACCCTGCCCACCACACCGGTCGATCGGGAGCGCCCATGACGGGTCAGCAGGGGATGGAGAACAAATGGACGAAAGGGAACAAAACAAAGGGGGGATTCAGAAGGACCTTGGAGAAGCCGCTGCTCTCCGGGACCACCGTGGACTGTGAGGGCATGAAGCCCCCACCGCCGAAGAGCGAGTTGGCGTTCCCGGCGCCACCGCCGCCGCCGCCGCCGCCGCCGTCGTAGTGCCCGCCGCCGCCACCGTACATCGCGGCGGTTAAAGCCCTAAACCCTAGGCTTCCAGAGGAAGGAAGGGAGGAGCAAAGGAACGAAGGCGGGAGAACGGTTGGGTTAGGGGAGCCTTTTGCCTCGTCCTATTTTGAGCGAAAATGCTGGGAGGCGGCCAGGCGGGCGGCCGTTCCACCGCGCGCAGCTGTGCCGTACTTTGACCTTTCCACTTTTTTCTCCCCAGGGCTAGCGCTAGGACATCCTGCCGCACAACTCGCTCCTGCACCTGCGTCCACATCACATCCCATACCTCTCACGCCCCGAATCCTATCCCACGCCCCCGTGCCCCGCATCCCATCCCACGCTGGCGTCTACGTCCGAACGTAGCACCCTGACGACTCCTACTCCAACGCCAACACCAATGCCGAGGCGAGACGGAGGAAAGGGAAGGAAGAGGAGAGGAGGGAACGAGGTGCTAACCGAGGTAGGAGCTAAAGCCATGTGGCAGGCCGTTGTCCGCCAACTACCGGCACTATTGCAACATATGCAACATCCGATCTACTTTTAAAACATCCAGATACAACATGTGCAACATACGTCTAAAGACAGATAAACATTTGAAACGCTTGCAAAAACACCCGAAAACACATGAACAGCCATTGTAAAACATATGCAACGTCCAAATAAAACACTTGCAACATATGTGCAAAACATATGCAACGTCCAAATAAACACCCTTGCAACATACGTCTGGAAAAACAGATGAAACATTTGGAACAAAAACTTGCAACATACGTATGCAACAATTGCAACATCCCGATCTACTTTTGTAACATCCGTATGAAACACTTGCAATATACCTATGAAACATCTGAAACACTTGAAACTTGTAACATACGTTTTCACCCTTCTTCCGTACGATGCAGCGCAGAGTGGGGGAGCGTTCGGTTTTGGCCAGTGGGCAGTCGAGGATGGTGGCGCGGCCAGCTGCGCTTGCGCCTAGCCTAAGCCTGGCTAGCGACGGCCCCCTCTCGTGGCCGCCTGGCCTAGGCGCGGAGGGGAACGGAGGCGCCATAGGGGATAGCGACGCTCAACGGAGTGGGCCAGGCATGAGATGGAGGCACCGCAAAGGATGGTGGCGGCGGCGACGCGGCGGAGAGGGGCAGGTGGACGGCCGTACGACAGACGAGCGCGGAGTAGGGAGATTTGATTTTTTTTTATCTGGATAGACGGATGCCAAGCGTGAACATTATCGTCGTAAGATACGTATAAAAAGTGTCAGATATTTATGGTCAAAGTAAAAAATGTCTTGAACAAAAATAAAATACCTTTAAATTTTTTAAGGACACGTAATGCGCGGGCGCTTGCACTGGCGCTTGCATGCGGTTTTGGCTTTTTGGTGTCACGGTGGAGGCTCGCAGGGCGCTTGAGTTTGCATCCGCTACCAAGTTAAGCGGCCGGCGCTTCTGCTCGATTAAGTCCGAAAATCAATAGTTACAACCTAGATTAGCACTGAAAGTTTACTTATTCTATTGTAGGTTAGGACGCCTGTAAAAAATAAATTAGTTTCTTTTTTTAAGCGCCTATTCAAACATCTCTGTGCTGTACATGGCCTAATGGTGTTGGAGGCGCATGAAAATAACTACTCATCTACAAGTTCGTCGGAGGCACCATGACGTTCCTTTCGTGTGCGCGAGTGCAAGTGTATTGTATTTGGTACATGGTCTACTAGTAATAGACAGATTACAGTATAAGTAATCTGTTATGATTTATTTTCATACTTGAATCTGTTATGATTCTTTTCATACCTTTTTTTTTTTGCGAATGATTTCTTTTCATACTTGAGATCTTATCTTTCGTACTGTTTGGTTGGATGATTTGTAACGGCATCTGATTGCGGTGGCAACTGATAACGTTAGATTCTGTTTGTTTTGCTTCCACTGTAAACGTATCACGCCGTAAAGCGATACGGGCCAAGAGAAATCTGATACTGCTCAAACCTGGCCGTAATCTGTCCGCCTCATCTTCCCCTCGACATATTCGTCTAGTTCTTTCCCAGCGCCGGCGCCGCCCATCCCCAGTTCCCCACTGCCTCTTCGTGTCCTAGCGTGACTCCACCCCTTCCCGTCCTCTCTGCCTTCTCCAATCTTGGCCTGCAGAACCGCGCCGCCCACGCCGCAACCCCAGGTGTTCTCGTCTCGTCGAGGCCGTCAGCTACCCAGAAATTCCGGACGTCCATGGACGATGTCGTCGCCGGCGAAGAAACACTGTCGCTTGCTGCACACCGTGATGGCCTCATCGAGCTAGGCGAGCGCCGCCGCCACCTGCTCCGGCACCAGCGAACGCCTCGTCGACTTACTGTGAGATGATGAGCGACTCACAGACCAGCCTCCCGCCATGGACGAGCACGAGGTGGATGCAACTGGCCGCGGCGTGCATCCTCAACGCCATCAACAACCCTACATCTCGAGTTCCCACTCGAAGCAGGCACACAGCGGCGCCGAGCATGAAGATCTCCGTCTCGCTGTTTATCCGATTCCTTTACGGACCGAACCAAACAAAGCCAATATTTGCTTAATTTGTTTCTCCAAACAAAGCCAATATTTGCTTAATTTGTTTCCATTTGCGACGTCTTCCATTACTGTTCACGTTTACGTTTACCGAATGCAACCAAACAACTCTTTTGTCAATCCGCCTTTGCTTATTGTTAGGAATGCCGAATGCAACACCCACTCTACAACCAACACCTACGCAAGAGCCAATGAGATGAGGAGCGGCATGCATAGATCAATCCTAAGAAGACAGCCAAACTACTGAAAAAACAGCTTGAAGTCCATGAACAAATTGATTTGTTTGGTGTCAAATGATAAAAATACTTGAGGATGAGTGTATCTGAATGGATATATGCATTGCACCCAAAATGACTCCTAAAAATTTGAATTAAGTGTTTTTGGCTGAGTAGACTCTTAGCATCATCTAAAATATAACATATGCATATATGACTGTTGTCCCATTGCAAATTACAGAGATAAACCTATTTTCCTGTGAAAGTGAAACACTACAAAGGTGTTCTTCCTTTCTGCTAGGTTTTGGACACTACAAAGGTGTTCTTCCTTTCTGCTAGGTTTTGGGTATGGTAGTAGGAATCAGGAGGGGGAGAAAGTTCTAGACTTCGCGGTAGCTTTTGACCTGATGATAGTCAACACTTTCTTTAGAAAGAGAGAATCTCATCTAGTGACCTTCAGTAGCGGACAACACTTTAGCCAGATTGACTTTGTCCTCGCAAGAAGAAAGGACAAACGAGCATGCTTGGGTTGCAAGGCGATACTAGGGGAGTGTGTTCTTTCTCAACATAAGCTTTTGGTGGCAGGCTTTTATTTTCAGGTGTGTGCCCGTAGGGATAAACAAGCTAAGATTGAAAGAACAAAGTAGTGAAAACTGAAAGGGGAGACGTCAGAGGTATTCAGGAAAAGGATTATCAAAGAGGGCTCTTGAAAGGAAGAAGAGGACATAAACAACATGTAGAAGAAGATGACAACCAACATTCGGAAGGTGGCCTTAGAGGTGTGTGGAGTAACCAAAGGAAGTGGAGGCGAGGCTAAAGATACTTGGTGGTGGAACAAGGAAGTCCAAAGGGCTATTAAGGAGAAGAAAGAATGCTATAGACGCTTGTACCATGACAGGAGTGTGGACAACATAGAGAAGTACAAGGTGGCAAAGAAGACTGCAAAGCGAGTTGTAAGTGTGGCAAATGGTAGAGCGTACGAGGATCTTTACCAACATTTGAGTACAAAGGAATGAGAGAAGGACATTTATAGAATTGCTAGGGTTCGTGAAAGAAAGACAAGGGACTTCAACCAAGTTAAGTGCATTATGGATGAAATGGAGCATCTCTTGGTGAAGAAGGATGAGATCCGACATCGATAGCAAGAGTATTTTGACAAATTGTTCAATGGTGAGAATATGGAAACAACCTTTCAATTGGATGACTCTTTTGATGACACCAATATGCGCTTTGTGCGGAGAATCCAAGAATCTAAGGTCAGAGAGGCGTTGAAAATGACGAGAGGAGTTAAGGCGATAGGACCGGATGGTATCCCAATCGAGGTGTGGAGATGCCTCGGGGATATAGCTATAGTATAGCTAACCAAGCTGTTCAACAATATTTTTCGATCGAACAAGATGCCTGATGAGTGAAGGAGAAGTATATTGGTACCGATCTACAAGAATAAAGGGGATATTCAAAGTTGTACTAATTATCGGGGAATTAAGTTGATGAGCCATACTATGAAGCTATGGGAGAGAGTTATCGAGCATCGCTTGAGAGCAATAACGCGGGTCTCTATGAACCAATTTGGTTTCATACCCGGAAGATCAACCATGGAAGCCATTTTGTTAATAAGACAAGTTATGGAGCGGTACAGGGAGAAGAAGAAGGACATACACATGGTTTTTATTGACTTGGAGAAGGCTTATGATAAAATACCAAGGAATGTTATGTGGTGGGATTTGTACAAACATAAAGTCCCAACGAAGTACGTCGGGCTCATTAAGGACATGTACAACAATGTTGTGACTAGAGTTCGAATAAGTGATGGAGACACGGATGACTTTTCGATTAGGATAGGACAACATCAAGGGTTAGCTTTGAGCCCTTATTTGTTTGCCTTAGTAATGGATGAGGTCACAAGGAACATACAAGGAGACATCCCTTGGTGTATGCTTTTCGCAGACGATGTAGTGCTAGTTGATGAAAGCCGGATATGAGTGAATCAGAAACTGGAGTTATGGCGGAAGACTTTGGAGTCCAAAGGTTTTAGACTCAGTAGAACTAAAACTGAGTATATGAGATGTGACTTCGGCACTACTACTCGGGAGGAGGAAGATATTAGTTTAGAAGGTCAAGTAGTGCCTAGGAAGGATACCTTTCGATATTTAGGATCAATGCTACGGAAAGACGAGGATATTGATGAAGATGTTAGCCATAGAATCAAAGCAGGGTGGATGAAGTGACGGCAAGCATCTAGTGTCCAATGTGACA